TGTGGTCTTTTTATTGCCCTTGAGAGACTCATTTTGCTATTACTTCCATGAAACCTTGAACATAAAAGATGTGCAAATTATTGAAGCAAAGCAGGTGAAGTATGAATAAAATTCACAACTGGCAACCCACTGAAGCTCAACAGGCGGTAGCCTAGCCAGCACCTGGATGGGAGACCTCCTGGGGAAAAACAAAGGTTGCTTCTAGAAGAGGTGTTAGTGGGGCCAGTAGGGGGTGCTCACCCTACGGTCTGTGTGGGTCCTAATGCCCCAGTATAATGACAGGGACACTAGATCTGTGGTGAGTGTACTATTACACTATGGCTGCTGTCACATCATCCGGGTGGATGCTGCACATTTGTAGTCCTGGTGGAGGGGGTTGCCATTACCTATAAAGTGCTTTGAGTGGAGTGTCCAGAAAAGTGCTATATAAGTGTAAGGAATTATTATTATTATTATTATTATTATAATACATGTAACACTCAAGGTATAAAATGTACTGCTGCTCTGATCAGAGACAGAAGATTTAGCCCTCTCTCTGAGAGTCGGCTTAATGATGTGATTAAAAATCTCATTCCATTTTAAATAACTTTCATGTTAAATATTAATACCATGGGCTATTAATCTACATGGAGCTTTGGTGAAAGACAATAGTGGAGAAGGTAGAACAACAGACTTTTTTGTTTTCTTTGAGAAACAAATGGAACTAAGCTGGACCATGAATTATATTTATCTATCAGATACATTTTTTATATTTAAGACGTGATACCTAAATGGAATGAAGTACAACAAAAATAGAATACCAATGCTTAGACAGTGTGCTTCACCCTTCTCAGTGAAGTCTATTCATTATATCTGAACTAATTAAACAGATTTCACTTTCATACTGGTCTTGTTTTTAAGTCTTCCTAATGTAGTATTAATAATTCCAGTTTGTTTATAATGATGATAAATGTGGTGATTAAGGTGCTGTGTCCCAGTTATACATGTAATTTAAAAAAATCGTAAGTTCTCATTCAAATGTTTAAGCATAACCATTCTTAAGCTTTTGTCCATTCTTTCTAATTCTTTCTGTTTGCCATCATTTCTGATTATTTATTGTGGCAATATTAACCACCACTACACTATGAAGTCGCTCATTTGATATTTACGAGTTTCAGTTAAACAATGGCATGCATGTTAGAAACCAAGCAACAACAAAAATCACTGGCTGTCAAAATGGTATGGTTGTTTTTATGGAAGCCTAAGTTAAATTATTATAACTTTAAAAAATAATGCAGTAATAAGTGAGTCATGGCATGCAGAAAAGAGGTCTCAGGATGGTTTCGAAAGTCTAACATAGTCATCCTCCATCTAAATCCATCTGTGCAATACAAAAGGCCTGTTCTTTGTCTAAGCAGCCCCTTGTTTTGTAGCTGTAGACAATAAAACAATTCATTGTTGCTATAAAACAAAGCATTCTTATGAATCCCACAAGCTAGGCATTGTGCTGTCTTCCTAATCCTAGAACATTGTAAATAGTAACGCTGTTCTGTCACTGCATTTTCATATTTGTGAAGCCCAGTTCCTAAATGTGTTTCTTTGCTGTACAGATGTTAAGCGCATGCAGTTCAGCTGATTCATAACCTGTTCTGTGGATTCAGTTTGTGCACTGAAAGACAGTTCACAAATGAAAACGTATATTTAGTATTGTTCTATTTAGGTCAACAATTAAAGGGGAACTCACAATATCTCAGACCGGTTATTAAATCTTGCTAACAACATTAATTCATTGACATCCATTGAAAAATTTGACAAATTTCAAATTAAGTTCAAAATGCCAAATGTCGTGAAAGTACTGCAAGTCAACATGTTGTCACAAACAATTTGTCTCCCCACAGGCGAGAGCAAGAGTTTACGCAAATTGTGATGTGGCCCTTCCTGCTCACTAGTCACTGTAATGATTAATGTAATGCAATGTACAAGCGAATAAGTAGTTTGTGCACAGAAACCTGCTGTGCAGCAGAAATTTCTCTACAGAAAGTTTCGAATGTGATCGGTTAACAAGTAAATTCCTTTTACTTTTAAATTCCTGAAGTCAAAAGCAATATTTCTATTGGATTAAAAGAGATGCCCTGCAGAAACTCAACAGAACAAATATTGGTTTGTTGAAAACTGGACTCACTATAGGTGGGCTTATCTGCATTGAAACTAAGTCTGCTTCACTGATGAATCAAAGTTTTGTGTTGACTGTTACCAAACCTGAAGTACAATTAAGAAAGTATAGAGTAGGAATGTTGAAATGACCTCACTTGCTTCCCTTCCCTCTTGCTTGACATTATTCCAGCAGGAACATGCTGCTTGTGTAACAACTTTCTTGCGAAATGAGAATGTGATGGCCACGCTGTGAATGGTCCTTTCCTTACCTACATTGAGGTGGGGTAAAATGGCACAATGTGGGGTGTCTAGAGCTTCAACAGCGGTCAACAGATACACCTTTAAATTCTACAAGAATGGAACTAAATCCTGCAAAACAGCATCTGTCACCTGGTGTAGAGTGTACATCACAGATGTTCATCTTGTATTGCATCTAGGAGTGGCCACACATGCTAGAATCCTTTGACTTTCATGGTGATTTAACGTCATATCTGTTAAAAAATATGTCAGTGCATATACTGCTACCGAAAAGGTTTTTGTATTTTTCCTGAAAACTTTGAGTTTGTTGCAGTTTTATTGATTCATTGATACTCAGTACATATCCATGCAGCATCGAACCACAAATCAATTACACTAAGGTGATATCCCCAAAAAATGAAGTGTGTTATTATAATTACACTTTAAATGGACATTACACATCCCCATTTATGAAGTGGAGGTTAAATAAAATATATGTCATTAATGCAAGGAACAGTCCACAAAATATAAATGAATATACATAATCAATGTGCATACCAATTATCCTTGTCCATGATGACTTACAAGATAGAACTTTTATAGAGAGTATAAATACAAGAACAGTAAGATAGAACACATTAATACAATCACAATATGACGCACACAAACTGGAAAACATAATGTGAAATCAGAATAATATTAAGAGGTAAATTAAAAAGAAACAAGAATCTTAGTCATATTTCAGACTTGTAAGTTAAACATGCATACACACATTTTTTTTAACCATTTGTAACGTTATGAGGAAAGGGTTCTTTCAGCACAATTATGTGAAGACAAGCTATAAATTGGTTTGACAGAGTTTCAAATCGTACAGACTGCATATTCATTGGAACAGATGATGAACCATAATGATTCTTACTGTAGGTTAGGTAATTTTAATACTAATAATCCCTCCATGGCTATCTGAAACATCTGTTATCAACAAATAAAGAGCAGGTGGGTGGTAAAGATCAGCTCTTCTGTTGCAATTATTAACTAACTTTTTTGCATAGCTTATACTGGACAAGTCATCTGCCTCAATTACGTGAGTAGAAAAGACATCTATATCAAGTCCCCGAATCTCCAAGTGTTTACTTCAAAGCTTACTTTTAAGGTACAGTATGAAGTATTAACCTGATTCTTTCCATCCATTTTCTAATTGCTTTATCCAATATGGTGTCATGGGGGAGCTGGCACATATCCACCTTTTCTGTTCATCTTTTAATGCACCTGATTTATTAAAAGATGAACAGAAGACACATTATAAATTCTACCGGTATGGTCTGCAAATGATGTTTGGCTACTATGCAAGAATTTGTTCCAGAAATCAATAAGATTTAAGGGCCCCTTTAAATAATTTGGATTCAGTTGGAATACCAAGCTAGGAAACAGTGGGCTCTTGAGGACTAGTATGAGAAATCCTGCTTTGGAGTCCACGTGATAAATCTTCAGAAATTTATTATTATTTATTTATATACCATTATTTATTGGTATTTGTTCTGATAATATTACGCTAATAATTCTAATTGTGCCAATTAACATACTATAAGGTTCATTTCAGATGAGCCTCTATTTCAGTCAGGAACCACATATTCATCTTCTAAACCAACAGGGGGACTGCAATCTGGTTATATTTCTCTTTTTTATATTTGCTATTCATTAATTACCTTGGGAGACCATATTTCCCAAAGCTTAAAGCACGTTGTCTGCTGTTTTACTTTGTTTTCTCCATGTTGCTTTTATGCTCCCTTTTACCCAATTTCCAAAACACAAGATTATCAGTTCCTTTCACAAAAACAAACTCTGTGTCCAGGATAAACTCTAAATATTAGATTACAGATTATTTCATTGAGCTACTGAAACATTTTGTTTTTGTATTTAGCCTTGTTTGCAATCATGTGATATAGCCAGAAAAAAACATTTTTTGATTAAGAATTACTAGGAAAAGTATATTAACGATTCAATAGAAAGCAAATGTTTAAGACAGAACCTGCAAGAACGTCTTTGTATTAGGCAAAAATATGTGGCCACGTATAGTATATGTGGTAAATATATGATCACAAAAGAAGATGCAAGATTTAGCAACAGGCAGTGAAATTTTTTTTTACAAAAATTTAGACTCCATCACCTAAGCAGGCACTGTCAAAAATACCCTGGGCTCTTCCAGATGAGCCAGAAGATGACAAAAATTATGCACTGATCTGAATAAAAGGCAATAGCAACTTAAAGCATTTGGAGAAGCATTTATTTTTAATAGTACACATCTGATCGTGGGAGTTTTCATTGAGAAGTTCCATTGTGTATGCCCAGATAAGTGAGAGTTCTCATAACATATTCGATCATAAGGACCACCCTTGGGTTTTAAATGATCATTTTTTGTGTGTGTCCCTTAAAAAACTTGCAGACTGCTTAGTGTTCTCATTTCCGGAAGCAAAAGCCACTTTCAAGCACTGGAAGCCTATGGGGTCACAAGCGCATGGTGACCTACTATTGAAAGCACGTCTTAGGACGGCTCATCTGCTTATGCTGCTGTTGTTGCTGTGGAGAGAAACAGGGGAGAGAGTAGTGGTGTGTTTGAAGCCCATCCTTTTTCCTGAGGCTCCCTTTCCCAGCGTCCACAGCACTGGCAGCCACTGCTAATGAATAATTTGCTTAGTGAGGTGTGACCACAGGCATTGTGTATTTGAATTTCACACTGGCGGATTGATGCAGGGGGAAGAAGAGGGGGAGACAGAGGAAGAGAGGGAGCGAGAGAGAGAGAGAGCAGGGAAGCTGAAACTCAATTTCTCACACATGAAAAAGGATTTGTACAGCATCGCAGCAGAGGGCACAGGGAATTTCAGGTTTTTAATACCATTTTTTACACAGTAAGTATTTCTTTTGCTTCCTTGTAACTGCCTTAGGTGAGAGGGATAATTTACAAAGCAGTGCATTAGAATAAACAGAACCCGTTCCTGTTCTTCATAAAGAAAAGATAACAACTCTGAAAAAGATCAGGGAGCCTCCTGGCTTTTCTTGCTTGCTTCATGAAATATGAACCTTGCTGGTTCATGACTTGAAATGAAAATGAGTCATTTGTGCTGCAGTCTTAACCAGTGCTGGCTCATCTGTAGACAAGTTAGGTCTCAGAAAACATGCTGTAGGAAAAATGGAAAGGACGATGCACTCATAATTTACGTAGTATGTCTGTGGCTGTCTGCGTCTGCTGTGTGGGTGTTCCTATGAACAGCATTTTGTTCTATTTTTAAAAATGTTAACCTGATAGAAGCAAATGCCCTCTTTGGCAAATCATTAAATCAGATAAACACTGTCAAAAATACTCTCGGTTCTTCCATATGGGTTCCCAAAAGATGACAAAAACTACACACTGATTTGAATAAAAGGCAATAGCAAGTTAAAGCATTTGGAGAAGCATTTATTTTTAATGGCACACATCTGATCGTGGGAGTTTTCATTGAGAATTTTCAATTGTACTGTGTATGCCCAGATAAGTGAGAGTTCTCATAACATATGTTATCATATTGTAAATAGTCACATAAGATCCCAGTAAAATTTTGTATACATTTTGATTCCTTATCAAATGTTTGTCTGAAAATTTCAAAGAAAAACATGATGCCGAAAACTAACACCTGCTAGTGATATTTTTCAATCTTTAAAAAAAGAAATACTAGAATGTCCTTTAAGTACTAAAACAGTTCCATAGAACTGTTCAACACAATAACAAATGAATAAAATAATTTGGATGACAGGAAGGAGAGGCAGGAAGAAGGGCATGGAATATAGGGCAATAGCTGGTGGGGACAATTGATTTTTATTTGTTTTCTAAAGTCTTTCATTAGATATCTGTGGTCATCTAAGCAGGATTAGAAGTAATCGATTCCCAGCTAAATTAAGAGGCAATTATTAATTGAGGATAGTATGTGCCTGCCTCTACTCACAGGTGATGTTGTGTCTGATGCATGTTGTTAATAAAATGTTTAAAACAATTTTACATGGACACTGCTTGTTACAAGATGAAACAAAGATATTTCATGCAGAAAATGCATTTTGAGCCTGAATAATAGCATGTCCAAAATAGTTGTTTATATTCATTGTTTGAAGTCCCAAGACTCCTAAGTAAAATAAAACACCAATCCTAGGTTTAGCTAATTTTGAAATTAATTCAATAAATGCAATACAATACTTTGTGGAATGCACAATGTAGAGCACACTTTCTATCTCAAATGTCAGGTAGAAAAGTAGAACTGGGAAGAATGTTGTGAATGAATGAGGTTAATTCTACACATGTAATGAATCATTTAACTGTTGATGCACTGACTGAAATGTTTCCTTATGACTGTCATTAATATGTCAGCTGGTGACACGGATATTAATTTATTTTTATGTTTTCCTAACCTGCTTCTGTCTCAGTGGAGTATGGGTCATAATGTACCTAAACTGAATTACACATTACAGAGAAGCAATGCTATCATTACATTACCAAAGATTAGGACAAGAGTTATTTTTATATATTCATGACATATCCACATTAATCACAATAAATAAGTGACTCATATATTATATTTATTGTCTAATGCACATTTGTGCCTGAGAAGGATGCAGAACATTTTGAACAAATACCAGTATTGTTTAGTCATTTTCACTATATCAAATTTAACAATCATGCACGGAAACTTTACTTCTACATACAGGTAGTGAAAGGGTTTTTTTTCCGAAGAAATGCAGTTCTAGAAAGGTTTACTTAATATGAACAACCATTAATTTGCTTTAACGTAAAAATGAATTAAGAGTATAAAGAAAGTGGTGCTTCATAAAGCAAAGATTACAGGATATGTTGTCACAAAATGACTACAATATTTGGCATTCATGGATAACTGTGTGTGTTCTTGCATTTGTCAAAAAGATGAATGTGTTTAGTATTCAAGATTATAAATTTGCATGCAGAAATGATGATAATCCTTAACTGTAACCCAAATCTGGGAGAGAAATAAAGCTTCCAAACTGAAGGGGTGTTTTGATGGTTCTCTTTCACAATGGAATAGAGAGAAGAGGTAATTGACACAGTGACAGAAAAACAAAACAATCACTGTAGGGCCCACACTGTCTGTTTGCTGTGTCCATTCAACCATTTTGTTTTGTAATCTGTGAATACCTAGTATCATGCAAAATATGCAAATGTATTTTCCACAGCAAAGATGCTCCAATGTTGTCACTACAAAGTAACTGTTAACACAAATAATCTACTTTTGTTAGACATGTACTGTAGCTATTTAGCAAAACTGCTCAATTTATGCAAAGGGAATATCTACTACAGGCCAGATAGAAAATATAGTTTTAGTTACTTTATAATAAAATTCCAAAGGCATAGTAGTGCTTTGAATTCAATCTTTCTGTTGTAAACACTTTTTTTGTAATATTGGAGATGAGTCTCTGCAACTAATGTTTCATATTGTGAATGTTTTTTAACAGTTTTTTAAGAGTTTGTGATTTGTACATATTCAATGAAATATTTTAAATGTAACTGTTAGAAGCTTTAAAAAATAAGAGTTTTGATAATAATGAACTTACACAGTGTAAAGAAAATATTAAAGAAAACATAATACAGGCTTTCAACATCAATTAATAAGAATGTATTTTTGAATCATATACATTATTATACATTAAAATCATATTCCCTTAATTTAACATGCTGTGAATTATGTATTTTTGGACAAAGGCCTCTCTGTTGAATGCTCTACATATGTACTATTATTCAGAATGTTTTCATTTGTGGTGCATACTGGTATTTACCTTCAACAACAAAAATCAAGCCACAGAAATGTAGAGAACTCACTGAATTCTGTGAGGCCTGATCTGTCTTGCTGGAATAGATGTAAGTGCTTTTGGCTAAAATTGCATTGGAAGAAAAGTGAAAAATATGAATGACTTAAACATGATTGAACAGGACAGTCGTCTTTGAAAAGTATGGTGTCCTTCTGTTTGAAAGTGATGTTAAACTGTGAAATGCTATCACAGATGAACACTACTCTGTAAATAAGAGTAGTAATAAGAGTAAATAAGAGTGTTACACCCACCGCCTATGGAACATTGTAGTTTGTGGTTTCAAAAGATTGTTGGTATTTTCATGAAATTAGGTCTGGACTCTCTCGTCTATCTTTATAGTTTATTATTTGTTAAAAGGCCCCCAAATGGTATATGTAGACAATCAGTTTCCATCAAGTACACTAATATACTAATGTGCAAATGTGTCTTTTATTAATCTGCAAAAGCAATGTACAAAGATAAATAATTAATATTATTGTGTTTTAATTTCTCTGAAAGAGATCTAAAATCTGTTGTGCTACAACTAATAGCAGTTTAAGAGTGAACATAAGAACAGATACAGTACAAATGATTGGCCATTTGGCATATTTATCCTATCTGGTTGTTACAATCCAAACATTTTTCATTTCTTAATAGAAGCTAGAATATCAGCTTGAAGAACATGGCTGGGGAGCTTGCTTCATACTGTAGGTCCGCATGACTCTTTAACTGTATATCTAAACCCTTGTACCCAACAGGATCACAGGAATAAACCGGGTAAACTTGATTACAGTATTATGAAGTCAACTTTTAATACTATAATTTACATGTTATCCTTACAGGGTTTCAAACAGTTGTCTAGCAATGAACTTTGTTAAACTCATTTTGAGGTAAAAACATTAAAAATCAAATAAATGGCAGGCCTCACAGTATTGGTGATTAATCACAAGCAATTAATTATTGACTCAGACTGGTTTGCAATTAGTTGTTGCTCTGGGGACAGTAACTACTTGCGAAGTGCTCCAGAGGGCTTGTTTATTTACAGATGACTTAAGGGCTTATTGCTTTTCCCAGTGGAAACAAAATCTGTAAATGGCTGACAAAATATCAAATCAATCGTAAGTACAAAAATGAACCCAACAATTACGTTAAGACCCATCTTACTCGATACTTGATCATCTTGCTATGGGTGCTAATTGCATAATGAGTTTGTCTTTACAAAGTAATCTATTAGTATGTGTATCCTGTAAGAAATAATCTCTTGCTTTCTAGAAGGATCCACAGACTCAAATCCAACAACATGGCTATAGACATGCTATGTTGCAGACATCCACAATTTTCAGTGGAACAAAATGTACCTTCTGTTTTCTGATCTAAGTGATTCTAAACCTGTATCCATAGATACTTGTATCAAAGCTGATTCTGTGAGTGACCCCTGAACTGTATTAGTCAACTTTTCAGGATTTAGAAAATATAAACCAAATTACTATATACCCACGCTGACTTATATGGAGCTTTAATCTGTGGTACCTTCTTTTTACTATGTTTTTATTTGAAAAAATTGGAAATTATCTAATTTTAGTTGAGAGTGCACACTGTTTTATTCTAGCTTCTAAAGTGAAATGACATCTTGAGGAGTTTATCATAGAAAGTGTTTAATAATAGAATTATAGAACTGTAAGAATTAATTTTTGAGATACATTTACATTATATTTATACATATTGTACACAAAAGACAATGCAGCGAACTCACATTTAACACTGGATACTTTGTCATGAAAGAACAGAACTGTTAAATGGAATTCATTTTCACCTGTATATCTCTCTCTTTTGTAGGTGATTCAACTGCCAAATGCTAAAGCCCCATGAGCGCTGAGAGATGTTGGAATTCAACTTCTGATTAGAGTTCTGATTAGATGTTTTAGCAAAAGCACTATGCTTGTTCAAGTCTGGAAGGTGATATTCTTTCTTTGGCATTCATTATCTGGCACACTTGTTGCTGGAACTTTGGTCAAGAATGTACTGGAAGACACTTCACCTCAGCCACAACCAAAGACTGATTCTAATGATCATCACCAGTCTTTATCTGAAAACCAGGGTGTCTTGTCTCAGCCATCCTGGACACCCACAGATCTAACAGTGGAAACCAAAACCCCTTTCTTGCTTCTATTACCTTTCAGTATTCCTCTTGATCTTCAGAGGTACAGCACAAAATCTGAAACAACTCCAAAGAGTACAGAAGGCATTTCAGTAACTAATTCATTATCTGATAGATTATCTGAAAGATATCAATCACTCAAGCCTGCTATAATCAAGTCTACACTGAAGAATTCTGAATTCACAAGATCTAGTACAGAGACTTTTCCTTACAGAAAGGAAACATCTATAACTACATTTACTAACAGTGGAACTGTAAGCAGTCTTCTCAGTAATAACAGTAAAGCTACTCCTTATCTAACCACTCTGCCTGTGCACACTTTTGCTACTACTAATGAAATAACGCCGCCAACACCTAAGAGAGAAATGCTGGGATCAACAGTCTATACTACTCAAAATAAAAACTCTAGTGAGCCAGCCTCTAGTATGGTGAATACTACAACAAGCAAACCTTTACTTTCATTAAAAGAGTCATCTACAGGGGCTGGTCTAGCTGGCATTGTGTTGCCAACAGCAGCTACTCTAGCAGTTATCCAAGATGAGAAAATTAAGGAGACCGAACCGAAAACAGATTTTGATCGATCTAAAAATGCTATAATCCCGAGTCCAGTGGAGGAAAACATGAGATGGGCCACAACAACCATCAGTGAGAAGATGATGCATGAAGATGTTGTACAAAAATTAACACAATCCTCAGTGTTAACCACAAATACAGCTGAAAGTAAGTAAAATAATCTCTTTGGATCTCTTATAAATAACTGGGGACTTTAAATGTAAATAATTTTGTCTACTGATGGAAACATTAGTAGTAGAAAGAAAGATCCAAAATGTTCCTCCTGTAACTGTTGCCAATCTCCACTGTCAGTTATGTACCAAAGATGTGATATGTAATTTTAAGACAGTTTAGAATATATCTTCCATTTAAAAAATATTTATTCTAAAATGATTTTAGTGAGCTCTTCGCTTCTGTATCTGTCCATCACCAATAGTGTAAAGACCCGAGCATGCTTAGAAAACTGTTGCCAAGTTGCTTCTACTCAAAAAAACAGATCAAGTTACTCATCTGCATCATCTGAACTTTAAGTACTATAACTTAAATAATACTTATAAAAACAAGATTTTATTTAAATTCTGTTTTAAAGGCACACTTCAATTAGACATACACCGTACTTGTATAGATGTGTGACTCCATCATACCTCTTCCTCACTGTTCTGATGATCACTGAAATGGTCTCTCCGTCTCACCAATGAGAGACCATTTCACCATACGTTTCACCAATGTAAGTGGCAGGGCACTTTCTGTAAGTGATTTCTGGACAAACATGCCCTCCTTTTGATCTTGAAAGGGGTTATGTATGTGTATAACAACATGCCGGGTAGGTGTATGTGAATGTACTGTATTGCATGTATCTTGAACTGTAGATATGTATATATTTCAAATACATATAGAATATGTGGTCTCATAGAAAGCTATGCTGACATTTCCCCATTGTAACACTCTGCCACGATTGCGCTGATCCTTCTGTATGCTTCCTTTCACGGAGATTCAAGGATACTTATTCCAGAATGACAGCAGAAGCCAACGTCTAATTAAAAAACAAATTTATTTAACCTATACGTTTGTTTTTACAGATTTCACTCTTTCACAATTCCACCAGAAGGTGTTGCTCACATACCCATCTCTTTGGGTCTCTTTCCCAAATCCCCATACTCATTTTCACATTCTCATGTCCTCCTCACACACCTCTTATATTCATTTTACCATTCTCTTCTCCATTTTTCCACACACCTCAAGGAGGGCAAACAGCTGAAATCGTGTGCTGCTTTTTTCAGCATGGAATTAACCTCTATAGGTTCATATACATGCAATACTCCGCTGTACATGATTTCAAGACACAGTGCAGGTTTTCTACTTCTTCACTTTCTATGTAGAAACAATTCTATGATGATTTTGATTTAATCTGATAGATCTGTGTTTTGTAGTATAAAATGTAGCCTCTTAGATCTGTAAATGATATGGAGAAGAACAATCTTTGTGTTTTTCATTGTCTGACAAAAAAATAAAGTCAGCACAGAAGAATTAGCTTTTTTAGCTATCCTATATTGATCTCACGGGCAAGATAACTATTCAGAAAATCTTCTAATTAGTAGTCAGAATCGACACTTGGGCACTGATTTGCAGAGCACTGAGTTCTGGTTTCTTTTCACCCCAAAATGTGAAATTATCCTAATTTAACATTAAACCAAAAGATGTTTTGTCAAGCTTTTCTGTTGTTTGCCAGACTGGAAACCAGGAATTCAGAAAAATTCCTAAAATCAATGCTTTCGCAGCAAATGGCAGCAGTTCCCTTCCTTCATGACTGTCGTGTCTAATTAGTATTCTTAATAAGCAAAGCACCTGTTTTAAGTCAGGTTATTACTGACCCTGCCATAACTGTGGGGTGGAACATGATAAAAAAAAAATCCTGACATGCATGCTGCAGTGTTTATCAGTATTCCACAAGCACTCGGAATCATTTATATGCCAAATCCTCTGGGAACCTCCTTACCTCTTCATGGATGCTGAGCATGTTACACAGCATCTGCAGTACACCCTCCACCCTCTTCCCTATTCTCTGTGTCTTTCTTCTTTTGTAGATAAAAGACAAGATTTACATTTTTCTTAAGAAATGAAAATAGTCTCTACACAAGAAAATGACATTGTGAGGCACCAAAGGAAGGACATTTCGTCTCCTATAAAGGTTGCACGTGCAACAGAGAATGAAAATGTAGAAATACTGTCTACCTTCATTTCTTTCCCTGTTACCAAGACATTGTACATTCTCTGGTATTCTTGCAAATCAAGACGGGGCGGGGGGTATCAATTTTTACATATCTTTATTGTAATTTCAAAGGTTTGTTGAGTTATATCACATTATTTCAGCATTTTGTACTGGATAGTTAACACCATAGGTTTACAAGATTAAATGATCAATCTCAATTTCAGCTCATGGAAGCCTACTTGCACTACACTAGTTGTCATATGAAATATTTATACAGTAATTTATTTTGGGAGTTCTTCTTTGCAGGGGATTTTTAAATATATAGTTTCATGAGACATAAATGCATTAGACATGAATTCCTATCAGAATTTATTTGTACAGTGAAGCATGATCAAATAGTTTGCTGCGTTTTCATTAAAATACAAAAAAATCTGCAAGCATAATGTATATCATCCAATCATATTTGTACATTAAATAAGATTCGATGACAGTGGTTCTCTAGTGAGGTCCACATAGATAGGATGCTATTTCAAATATGAATAATCTTTCCAACTCCAGCTTTTTACTGTTCCATCTGTAATTCCACTCTGGTCTTTCACAGTACAGCCACTCTAGTCTCCTTAATTGGTGAAGCAATTCCTCACTTGTCTACTGGAATAGCTGTTATGGGGGTGCTGGTGCATAATGGCTGCTACTGTATGTATCTCCCATCTCCCAGGTGGATCCTCTCCTAAATCTAAAGCATGTTGGAATCCTAAGGGATGAAAACAGTTACATAAAAGTAAAGAATTCTTAAAATACTTCGCTTTATAGAATTCATTAATATATCAGAAAAAAGCAACCATAAACATTGGAAACGAACCTGTAAAAATACTCTATCAGCAATTATATTTTAAGACCATTATGTGGAGATTTAATTGTGCTATTTTCTACAGCCTTTATTACTACCCCTACCTTCAGATACAACCCAGTGGAAATGTAAAAGTAATTGGCTACCATACAGTGCAGTGGTGTAGTCAAGGAAACCTTAATTGGTGCTTGGCATAGTACTGTATGCAGTCCTACTACGTGACAGCAGTTCCACTCCCTTGAACATGGGCTAGAAAGAGGTAAAAAAAATAATAATGTGAAATATTATTTAATTGAATGACATATTTAAAAAATAAATTACACATATAATTTATATACATGTTACATACAGTGTTTTTGCCAAAATAGACACATAACGATATCAGTGAAAATAATGAGGATAATGTTTTGTAAAGGTTTACTGAAGAGCTATTCTTGCAATGAAGAGAGGAGAGATTGAATACTGATCTAATCTCATTGAATTCCTTATCTATCAGAACTGACTCAAAGATCACAGACAGCAATTGAAAATGAGATGCATGTGCCTTTGTGCTTCTTAGTTATTATTATAATTCCAGTAGATGCACTATGTGGTGTTTGTTCTTCCTGTGTTTGAGTGAGTTTCTTCCCACAATCCAAAGGCACACGGATGGGTTAATTAGCTTCTGGGAAAATATTTAGATGAAGTAGTTAGAAAATGGATTGAAATTATAAACATATTGTGTTTCAGTTTTTCAAATTTAAAAGATGTCCAAATGTCAAGCAGATTTAGTTCTTCAGAGCATATATACTGTAGTAGACTGTCTGTAAGCGTGTTGCTAAATCTTAGAAAAATGCATTCCAATTTCTTCATGATGAAACAGAAACGGAATCATCATACAGAGAGAAACCTGTTGACAACTGACAATAAAAATATGCAAATCAGCACATTGCCAAGAGAATAGAAATTGATTTATCCGTTGACTACAAACCACCACAGTAACACACTTCCCTCATGCACCCACATACCTAAAGAATATGTTATATACAATACATTCTTTTTTCATCATCTTTCTACTTTTCATTAACCTTTACATATTCTTTTGCAGCTCACACGCTGTCACAGCTCCATGCTCAGAACTCATAGTAGTCAACAATATGACTTTGAATATTGCAAGCAAGGTTGAAACAATTTTGCCCTTATACAGTATTGAAGTGAGCTTCATTCCCTATTCTCCTTCCTAGGTCTTTCTCCTATGCAATCTGTGCAAGGGTTCATCTTGTTTTCATTTTGAATAGAAAAAATTCTGAACATTTCTGAAATGCAGCAGAGAAGATGAGACAGTGGACAACAGAGACCAATTAACTGCAGTTCAGCAGTCGAGGAGTTATTTTCAGCAGCAGAACTGATCAGACTACAGAGGTAACAGAAGGAGAAGATTTAACAATTGTGATTCAGAGTACAGTGAAGTAACCTTTTAGGGACTGGTTCTCTCGTATATAATATTATATTTTGGTGTCATAACAGTAAGGCTATTATAATTAATAGTGTTGTAAGTGTTCAGCAACAGTTTCATAAGGTTTCTATTGCCTTAAATGTAAAATCACCATGGCACCCTTGGAGTCATTTTCTAAGGAATGCAGTGGGACACAATAAGTCAGGTTGCGCTGGCTTGCTAACATAAACCAGGATATCAGAAGTTGGACACATCATGACTCTTCCAATTATGAAGTTTCCACTTTGACACTTCTTTGTCTACCTCTCCAAGAGGGAGACACCTCTGTACTTGAATCCCAGATGGAGGCAGCTGTCATAAATCCACTGAGAATTGTGCCACATTGGGATGGATACGCTATCTGATGACATCTTGACCAGTCGGCCCCTGTGACAACGCAACTTAAAAGCAAAATAGTTTGGGATGCTCTTTTGGAATCCCCTGGCAACTTGACAGCAAGACAAATCACCTGACTGTGACTGCTTTTGTCTGATCATCAGCTAGAACTAACTGAGCTGAAAGTAACTGCCACAAGAAGTTTACTCAAGACATCCTCCACCACATTAGAAATTTTGTGACAAGCTCTCAGTATTGGTTTTGTCAACACCACTGAATATTGGCATATACTGTAATATACTGTAAAGCTTCAAATTGTTCTGGAGTATAATGTTTCCAAGTCCTGGGATTTGTGCATGTTCCAGGAACACTGATTTTGTGCAAAGCTAAACACAGAATCCTTGTCATGTGAGAAGCTGTTTTCAGCAGGAGGCTAAGAGGAACGGTTTTCTCTCTTCTCCTGCACCTGCTGGTCATCCTTTGGCCCAGAGCAGGACATCCTTGCAGCACAGAGCTGGTGGTCAAGGACTGGACAGGCTGCATCCACATCCAGCTATTCCCCCTGTTATTGTTTTTAAACCTTATCTGCATAGCCTGGTTAAGTCTTTTACTTTGGATGAGTATGCTTTCACCAGTGGTAACATAATAACACCTGCAAATTCAGTTATTATTCCAAACAATCCAAAAACTACAGTGTAGAAGGCAGAAATCGCAGACAATTCATCCATTTCATTTTAATAAAGCAAAAGTACTTGAATATTTACTTATCTTTCTAGTGTACGAATATTGCAGAAATTGTATAAGACTGTTTAATTTACAGGTTTGGCTGCAATAACTATTTTTATAGTCAATGTATTTAACCCTGTTATTAGTATCTTTGAAATCACTGGATTATTGATCATCCGTTTTTGTGTATCATGCCTGTTTGATTCATATGCATCTTCACTCTTGGTTAATTTTGCACTTTTTATTATTGTGTTAATAAGATTGCATATTGACATTGATCTGACTCCCTGAATACTAGCTGCCCTAAAGTATTACTTGTGTTCACTGTCTCAGTTTCTAATTGTTTTTTGTCAATTCAAACAACCCAGACACTACAGTGTTGAGGGCAGAAATCGACAATTCATCCATTTCATTTTAGTCAAGTCATTTAGTACACTACTAGTGTGGAGCCTTAAGAAACAGGATTGTTTGGCTTTTGGTTTGTGTGTATATCAAACAAAGCATACAGTATATTCACAATGGTTTTTCGCTATATTTTTTATTAGAGAAAATAATTGACTCTTATAATGATGTTTTATAAGATAATTTTAGTTGTACTGATTTCTCAGCACAACATATTACTAGCTAATAAACTATTTAAAGTACAGATACAGATGGATGGAGCTGGTTAAGCAGATGATGGGGATTTGTTTGACACAACTAGGTTAAATCTCCATTTTCAATGCCCGTTTGTTGTGCAAAGCATGATGGATTACTTTCATACTTTCATTAATTATTTTTTTTCTACTTTTTAAAATAATTTCTAGCAATTTTATCTGAGTCTGACCCTGAATCTGAAAACCAACCAGACAACAGCTCTGAGAAGGAGAATCTGCTTGGATCTTCAGTACCTACCTTTTCCCTTTTCACGGCTCTGGATCCACAGTTTTCAGGTACAGTGATCTCAGTTGTGTCTCATTGCAAGCTTCCCCTGGCAGAGAAAGTAGTAAGAGTTGACCATCAATAAAATCAAGGGTTTAACAATTATCACGTTTTTGGAATTCTTTTCATAGCCAATCAAACATTACAAAAAGGTTATCATACTTATCATACTTATTTTGATATCATATGTTATACTTATTATCCTTAATTTCCCTTCGGGATCAATCAACTTTTAACTTATTTTATAAAAGGTATATAATAAAAAAGGTTTCAGATTAATAATTCCTGATTCATTTGGATTCCCTATTTACTGTAGTTGCAACGAAAATGTTTTGGCAGTTGAGAAAAACTAACAAAATCAAAGAAAGCAATTTCTGTATGCAGTATTCTCTTTTTGCTAGTAAAATAAATTAAAGATGGTATTCTGCTTCATTATAAAACATCAGAATTTTACATAACATAAGAAATAAAAATAACTTCATATTTCTTACTTCAGAGTTCCAGAAAGTGGACCATTCTTTATTTTATGTGCTGAGCCTTTACCTGCTTTATAGCTTTGCACATTCTACAAAATTCAACATATGTAAACACGTATACATTCAACATACAGTATAAGAGTTTTGAACATTGTTTCCTCATTGCAATAGCAGTTTTGAAATAAAGCCACAGAGTCTCAATGACATTCATGTCTGGGAACTTTTACAGTCTATAACTGTAATCTTCCATTTTTTCAAAAACCCCTGTGTTGGCTTTGAAGACTTTTTTAGGTCACTATACGTATGTAAAACATGCTTATTCAATAAGCCTTCTAGCACTTAGTAATGTGAAAGTAAACATACATATTTATTAGTATTTCACAGCATTCACCTATTATTCTTAAATAAAGATTATCAGTTCCTGAGAAAGCAAAAGTCCATATCATCCCACAACCTAACTCACTAATAACCACATCCTTAACAACTTGTGGAAATTGTCTTTTAGTTTTTTTTCTCCCCTCATCCTTTGCATACTATATATTGTTTCGGTCTCAGAAAACAAGTTCTGTTTGAATTTTACTAAAGAAATATTCACATATTCAAAAATCATGGAAAATGTTTAGTTATCGGTCTTACCAAATAACTGTTGTTTTAATAAATTATAATAAGGAAGTTTCCTTTTCATAAGGAAGTATAAAGTGACTCATCAAGAATTACTTATACGCCAACACATAAAAAGAAAGTTTTGAGTGCATTGTCCTTTCCACTGTTCAGCAATGTGTTGTAAATTTAAATACCTTGTTGTGTGAAGGTGTCAACAGTGGTAAAAATGGTTAACTTTATTTCTGTAATACATGATTTGTAAGGCATCTTGAATTCTGCATTCATCAAAAATATCAAGGATAGAAGTTGAAAAGTCGTTTAAATAAAATTCTTTTTTTCTAAAGTATTTATTTTAAAAATATATTCTAATAATAATTTCTTATTAATAATTCTGTAGACATAAAGCTATGAATTGAGTCATATGTAGTAAAAAGCAATAAAATATCCACAATTAGCTTAAAATGTGTTTATATTTTGACTTTTAATAATATTGACAATGTGTGGATAATCAAGTGAAATACCCCCCAGTCTCAGACTTTCCTTTCTGATAGACTTCATACTGCAAAAATTTAAACATTTGTATTGTTTGTGATAATTAATGAAATAAAACATTGCAGGAAATACAGGAGGCACAAAACATCACATCATCCGAGCTACTTAATCAATAGCAGTGTCTCAAACCCCCAATATAAAGAGAGAGGCTGAGTGTGGCTAAACTATGGACCTGTATATAAGTAAAATATCACGTAAATATCCTAACCAGACACAAGAAAAATTAACTGCAGACTCTATCCATGTCCTATGAATAATCCTTTTTTACTGCAGTCATCCCTATTAATAAAACTCACTTGTTGAGCATTAATAACATCATTGACATACCAGAGACTAACAGAATTAGTGAGGATGGGGAAAGAATATATAGCCCAATAAAGATCCCTCATATTTCCAAACCTCCCAAACATGTAAATAAGTGTTCAATACCCCAGATATACAGAGCTGACAGGTAGCATGTGCTAATAAACTTATATGAACTCTCCTACATGGAGTGAGGACCTATGGTAAAAATTAATATGGATAAGCTGAGGCACTTGGCCTTTGGATGATGCAAAAACTATTATCACTGATCACCTCCCAGTCTGATATAACGTTCCACATAATCAACTCTTAATACTGTGAGAAACAAATGTACTGTACATTGCTGAAGCAAACCCTTTTTTAACAGTTTGAGATTTATTAAATAGATCCAATAGTAGGCGAGAGAGGAGAGGTGAATCACTGGGAACACCAGAAGCATGAAACTATGAAAGAAGCCAGAGGTATAAAATTTAGAAGAACGTGGAAGAGAAAATCGACTTTGTAAGTCCTGGAAAGAACACAGGCCAGAATCACCAAATGTGTCCTTCAGAATTAAAACACCACAAGTCCACCAAAGGGAACAGACAAAAGGATGAGAATCAGTCATAAAACATGATTATACTATATTGGTGATTGAGTAAATAAAGGTTTGCTTCTAAATTAACCTGGTGTTAGCAATTACACTGCCAAATCTCATCAATAGATTTTTGTGCTTTAGGTAAGATGGGAAGATCTTGTAGCTCTTTGTACCTTCTGTAGATCCCCGATGAGGATGCATAGTATTATTTTCTATGGTTTCAGCAGAAGTGAGTACCTGTATTGAACTACAGTTAAAGAGCACTGAGTGGGAAGGGCCAGTAAAAAAAACTGAATACTTGTCAAGGCGAACCCCTAGCCTATTTTGGTGCCAAGAGTAGTTAATCAGATTCAGAGGTTCCTGCTGCTGCAAAACAAATTTAGAACATAGTGAGTTAAAGGGGAACTGCAACACTAGTTTCATATTTCAGGGTTAGAAAGCATCAGCATTGATGAGTGCATTTCAAGCTGCAGTAATGGTAAAATATACACATCAACTTGATAAAGCCTCCAATTTACACCAGAAGACAGACAAAATTTCCAGGTATGCACAGCACCTGCAATTCAGAATAAGGCAACAAAACTTCCGGTGATGTGTGCACCCTATGACATTGTAAACAAGCAGGCTTTCAAGATGGTTTTGCCAACAAATACTACTTGCTTGTTAACTCTGCATGCAGATCACATTTGGAAAATTCCTGCTGTGAAATGTCTGCTCCACAACATGCTCATACATCCCATTACATTATTCATTACTGGGACTAGTGAGCAGGAAGGGCCACATTACATGGCAATTCATGGGAACTTGAATGTAAGTTGCGTCAACATGGCAACAATACGTTGACAAAGTTCACAAATTTTGTGCTTAATTTGAAATTTGTAATTTTTTTGTTACCAAGATTTAATAACCGGTCTGAAAAATTGGGACTGCAGTTCCCCTTTAAGATTCACACTTAATTTAAGAGAAAGTGACAGTTACCACAGCAAACAGGAATTTAATCCTTGACAGAACGCCAATTTCTCATATAGTGATATTCTACCGTGCAGAGTAATGGGAAGTGGCAACTTTGTCAATATTCTATCAAGGGTTCCCATTCCACTCTTCACCAATGTTACAAATTATAATTACTTTATACACGAAAGTCTCAGCAATGGCAAAAATAGAAATGCTGTAACAAAGGTTGTGTCCATTATAGGTGATGTCAAAGGCATAAAAACTAACTTAGTCCAGCTAGTCTTGTAACTAAAGAAAGAACCAAAAAACTTTAAGAGATTAGGAAGAGAGCTAAACACATTGGCAAAATAGAGCTAAATGTGATCAACGTATAAGGAGATACAATGTGGAGTCCTGTATCTTAATAAGTATATAACCTACCAAGCAAAACTTTTAGACCCTTGCATAGTTTTCACATTTTGTTGCTTCAAGTATCAAGCTATGATACTTTGAAGAAGCAATTAATTTTTTTATATACACCACCTATTCCAAACATTCAAAGAAAACCCAAAAACAAGAAAATAGATTAATATGAAAGCAAAATAGAAAAGTCATAATTGCATAAGTATTTAAGAATTTGTAAGTATTGCCAAACCAAAATAAATGTAAGTACACAGCATTGCATTAATGAGGCACACAATTAGCTGAGTGGCCTCTATCTGCGTGCAATGAATGTGAATGGTTCACATAATTTCAGAATCAATACACATATCTCTGTAAGGTTCCTCAGTAAGAGAATTTCAAGCAATGATTAAACCACGGAGATGAAAAAGCTTTCAAAACAAATTATAGATAAAGTTGTATAAAGGCACAAATCAGGAAAAGGGTATAAGGGTATAAAAAAATTCAAAGGCCCTCAATCTCTTTGAACACACTCAAATTGAGGGCCAGTGAATCTCAATTGCAATGCAAGATAGTGGAGCAGTGCTTAGGCACTAGGGCTCAGGGTTCAATTTTGGACCTGGGCTAATGTCTGTGTGGAGCTTGTATGTTCTTCCCATTTTTGTGTGGGTTTTCCTCTGGGTCCTCCCATTCCCCTTCCCAAAGGCCGGAACATGCTGGAAGGTTAATTGGCTTCTCTAAAACTGGCTCTGGTGTGAGTGTTTGTGTCCGTGTGTCCCTGGTGTCCCTTCTGCTGCTTGCCAGGACAGGCTCTGACTCCTCCGTGACCCTGTACTGGATGAAGCATTAGAAAACAGATGGATGTACAAGATGTTCACAAGAAATGAACCCAGCATGGGTATACCTATTTCAGAGAAAGTGTGCCAGTGACCTACTTTCCAGGAATCCTGCAGACACCTTCAGCAACAGGAATGTGCTGCAATCACTCAGCTGATGATTGCTTAAGGTCATCCACGAAGTGCACAATTTTTGCACATTGCTTTCTTGCAAAAGGCAAAAAGAGGAAACACAGATATCAACCACACTCACTAGCATTAAAGAAAGCAAACTGTACCACTGCCTTAAGTTTATACTTAGTGATGTCATCAGCAAAGGTCTCCACCGC